CTACATATATAGAAACTGGAAATGATAATGTATTATATAAAATGAAACTATCGCTCCTATCTTTTGGAAATTACCTAGTCTGCAGGAATATTTCCTCTCTCCTCTATTTACTTTCTCTCCTTAGTTCTGAGTGTTCAAGAAGAATCATGCACATAGGCTAAGAAAATTGGCCCCAGGTTTCAGAATGCCAGCATGGAATGAAAATCTAAATATGTAACCATGTCATATATGTATATTCCCATTTCAAAATATGCAAGATGTGTTCAAAATGTTAAAAACTGAGTCTAATATGTTATAAAACTTTGTTTTTATCTAGAATGTGTTTCTTTACAATATTATCACAGTCTTTCCCATAAGTACAATGATCTTACTTTGTTGTACTTCTTACCTTCTAATTGTTTCTCATCAGCATCAGTTATATCTGTTTGGATTGTGTCAAGAATCTTGGACACATTTTGAGAAAACATAGGAAGCTTCCATGCCCTGGAAAAATAGTAAGAGTATAGCTGTGTAGCCATCAAACTTAGTTCATCAGTAGAAGCTTTTTCAATCCCCACAGCTATGACTTTTACTCCATCACGTTGCAATATTTGGGCAGGCTCTTCTATTTCATCGACAGAGGGTGTTGAAGACACGACCAGCAAGATTTGATCTCTATCTGTTGTCTTTTCTTTGAAATAGGTCTCATGAACCCATCGGAGAGCACTGCCAGTCTTCAAGGGCCCACCCCTGAATGCAAACTTCTCTTTGATGTGATTCAACATTTTGATTCTTGCTTCATAGGTGTCCAGTTGAAACTCACTGTGCACATCATCACTGTATTGGGCAAGTGCAATGCGGTACTGGTTTGGTCCCACTGGTAGACCATATATCATTTTGCTAATAAAATCTTTAATGTAAGGGAATGAGTCATTTCCCAGTTCACTGGAACTAGCAATCAAAAGGACAATATCTGCAGGTTCACGAGCTGCAAAAATGGAGAAAGAAATGCTTTTATGTTATGTTTAGTCATTATGATCAAACCATTTGGACAACAAGAATAATAGAGAGAAGTTTACCCAGAAATTGTCAGAAAGCACCTGACCACAGTTGCAGAGAGTCCAATAGAAGAGATCTCCCAGAAAAACTCTTGCGTATCACAAACTGAAAAATATTTTTCCATGTCATCTAATAATTTTCATTAAAAAAGAAATTCAATTTTGCTTCATGAACTTTTGCTAAGGGAAGTCATCTGCCTATTGTGCCAAGACCCTACAGCTCCTAGTGATTAATAGGAGTTGTAAATCTCAGTGTTCCTCAATATCTTGGTTTCTGATTTCCTTCGTAACTCTTAAGTAATGTTTCTGTAATTCTTTACTGAACAGTGTATAGCCCACATAATATCTCAAGTAAGAAAAATGGATCTAAATCAGGCGTCGGCAATATTTCCGGGCAGAGTACCAAAAACACCTGCAACCTCAACTTGCAGGATGTTGGCATGGTAAGGCAGATGGCAGGGGAGCTATGCAGGCCTGATCCTTATTTGTGGCAGTGCAGCCCCAGCCGCTTTCTCACAGGTGCACGTGCCAAGCAAAATGTCTTTGAGTACCACACTCTGGCACCCATGTCAGGGTTTTCCTACCCCGATCTAATTTCCAATAGGATTGATACCAATAAAGAGTACAGTGAGTAAAAAAGGCCCGTGAAAGGCAGGTTGAATCGCAATGTGGGCCTGGGCAGCCTAGGGCCCAGCTAGGTACTAACTCTGGGATCCAGCCCGTAGAGTAGCCCCACACAACTCATCTGGCCTGCAAGGTCCAAAGGTTGAGCACCACTGATCTAATGTAAAAAGGGGCTGCATTAAGCAACTACATACACAACCTCCTTCAGCACAGAAAAAAACAACTTCAGTTCTAGAAAACAGTTGACATTTTATGGACTGAAGAACAGAAAGTCTCCTACCTTTCACAACCCTGGCTTTTTTTAAGTGTTTGTATACAAGAGAGGGATTTTGATTCTGCAAATGCTATAATATCATACTGATATAATATTTTGCATTAACTCTGCCTAACAGGATCCTAGGAAAGTAGGGCTGGAAGGGACTCAACAAGGTAATCTAGTCCAATCCCCTGCTCAAGACAGCATCATCCTTGACTAAACCAAGTGTCTGTCTAACTTGCTTTTGAAAAGTTCCAAGGATGGAGATTCCATAATTTCTCATGGTAACCTATGCCAATGCTTGACTACCCTTATAGTGAAAAAGTTCCTCCTAAACTCCAAGTTAATTTTCCCCTGCTCAAGCTTGAGTCAATTGCTTCTAGTCCTGTTCCCTAGAGCCATGGAGAAAAGCCCATCTTCATCTCTGTAATCACCCTTGAGGTACATGCAGAAATGAATTGATGTTTTCACATTGCTAAGTTAATTTGGGCACAAAGGAACTTCAACTCTTTTTTGAAACTTAAGAAAAGCTTCAGGAATACTTGCAATCTTGCATTTTGAAGGGTTCGTGAAGAACCATCCAGTTGCCCAAGCAGATAAGCACTGATTTTTCAGACTGTCAGTGTGCCATGCAAATCTAATTGCGAGCCCAGGTCAGATATGCCAGGCTCATTTCTCATTTTCAGAACACACAGAGGGTATCAACGATGATAAAAGTCCTCTGTGCTCTAACATTTACATCTGTATTAATCATAACATTGTAAATCTTATCCATAAATATTTTCACATGGTTGCATTTCTTACCTTCTAGCTGTTTTTCTTCACGCAGGTCAGTTACTTCAAACATAGTTGTTTGCATTGCACTATTGACATCCAAATTAATACCTTCAATTATTTGGGGCATATGTTGAGAAAAGACAGGAAGTTCCTCTATCTTAGGAATTTTGTAATAGAACAGGGGTGTAGCCATCAAAGCTAGTTCATCATAAGGAGCTTCTTTTGTCCCTACAGCTATGATCTTTACTCCACTACTCTGCAAGATTTTGGCAGGCTCTTCCACATCATCATCTGAGGATGCTGAAGTCACAACCACCAAAATCTGATTTCTTCCTGTTGCACTAGCTGGTCTTTTAAAATATCTCTCATGAACCTTTCGGAGACCATTGCCAGTTCTGACTGACCCACCCCTAAATACAAAGTTCTTCTTGACATGGTTTAGCATCAAGTTCTTTGCATTATAAGTATCTAGCTGAAACTCCCTATGCAAATCATCACTGTACTGGGCAAGTGCAATACGGTACTGTTTAGGTCCTACTGGCAGATTATCAATTGTTTCTGCAATAAAATCTTTTAAGGAGCCGAATGAAGAGTCTTTCAGGCTGTCGGAGCTGTCAACCAAAAAGACAATATCTGCAGACTCTGGGGCTGCAAAAGTAAAGAGACGAAGATGTTATCCTGTGACCTTTTGGATCCTAATAAATGCAACACAACAAAGTAGAACTTTTTTTTTTCAAGTAAGTATGACCAAAAGCCAAAACATAACATTTTTATAATGATGACCAAAGTATCCTATTTTTTGGAGTGTGTTTGAATATAACAGCTTCTTATCATGAAAGGAGGGGAGTCGGGGGAGGGGGCTCTACAACTCTCATTTACTTCCAGGGGAATTGCAGCATCTGGCATTTCCCAGACTCACACACTGCATTTCCTTTAAAGCATGTAAAGTTTCCTTATGCTTTAAGGAATGGAGCACACGTCATTTATTGACTCCAGTACAAGAGATCCCTTTAAATCCTAAACTTCTTTGACATGTTTTCTCCAGTTATACCTGAAGCGTTCTAGCTCTTTTCCTCTGCTTTGGGAAACAGATTATACTGTCTAGAAAACTGGTACTGCATCATCTCAACAATTTTAATGAGAATTTCTTATTCTTGTTCACTGAAAATCCCTTAACTTCATGTTTGGCAGTACATTAGTCCAATCCAAGAAAAAATTCTTGAGCATCATAACCTCAAACTTAAGAATCTTCCAAGATTTTATTCCTCACCTATTCAGAATATACCCAAGTGCTGCAGACCAGCAACTACTCTTATTCCATGCATGTCCCCCTCAGGAAAGTTACAGTAACACAGATATGGCAATGTAATTGTATTGTTATAACTCTGCCAACAAATTTCCTCATTTGTACAAGTCCTGAGGTACAGCGAAAGCCAATCCAGAATCACATCGTCTTTAGACAATGCAGTAAAATCTTCCTCATAAAGCTGTTCCACCACAAAGTACTGAAGAACACTGATACTTTTTGCAGTTGTGATGACCCAGGAACCATACAAGAGGCATGGGTTTTTTGTTATGTTTTACTGGGGCAACTGTATAGTTAGGACAAATGTTGAACAAGTTTTTAGGCACAAAGTGCACAATGTTTTCTCCCAGCCAGCTATACAGTTGGTCCAATAAAAAAAAAATTGCAAAAAATCCTTGCCTTTTATACAAAAAAAACAATTGAAATTCCATTTAAATAAACAAAAACCCTACCATAAGCAGAGATTTTACCTCAGAAAAAGGAAATGCCATAGCTCCTATTACATTCCAGTAGGAATGCCTATATCTGTAATAACTTTACATGCAAAGTGCTCAGTTACAGCTCTTATGGACAGCAGTAAGTTGGTGTACTTCTTCAAGAGCCAAGGAAAAGTCAAGGGCCATGCCACATATCCCTCTTAATCCTTGCTAGAAACCATCTGATCTCCTTTCCAGTTGAATCTAGTAATGAAAGCTCCATAGCCTCAGGCTCTATGCTTCTTGAAGGAGAAGAGCACTCAATTACAGTACAAAATCCTAACATGGATAGTTCATGTAAATAGAATATAGGTTCCATAGCTATTCATGTGTATTTGAGTATATGAGTGCATATGTGCATGTATGTGTATATGTATGTGAGTACACACATGCCTGTAAGAAAGAGTGAGAGGTTCTTTTTAGGGTCTGTTTTTGACTGGGTACCTTTCTTGCACAAATTTTGTGTAGATATGACTTTACTATATGCCAAGGAGTGGAGACTTGGATGTCACACACTTAAAGGTTTAATATTAATCTTAAAGATGTGAATAAGGTTGGCAAGGTTGGACCCTTCTGTTTTACATTCTGTACCACTAAGTCCCATTTCAAACTTGTACCCTTGCAAACAGTTAACTTACAGGAGTAGGCATATATGATTGTCCATTGTGAGACTCTACTTCTAAGTCAGATCCTATATCTTAGACTTCTTTTTTAAGAGCCCATACAGAAGTATATAGTGCTCGTTGCTATTGTCCAAACTAAGCTGCTGCTTACGTACATACATGCACAGCAGTCCCAATTCTAGACACTTCAGCTTCTCATCAGTATTTAATGGGAGACTAAGCATTTAAACAATCTTGTTTCATAAACTATAGTATACAAAGAGATGCTGAATTACCGGGCTTCTGAGTCACCAAACTGCAAGTGCCTACCAAGACGAGACACAAAGCCAGCAACATCTTCTACTGGGGATGAATGTTTCAAGCTTCAGTTCTGGGGAGGGAAATCCCATATATCAATTGGATATACAAGTGGAGTGCTGGAACGCTTCAAGACATTGCATTACAAGTGGAGTGCTGGAACACTTCAAGACACTGCATTACTTCAAGACATTTACTGCTCAATTGACCAATCAACTGCACAGTAAACATCTTGGCATCTACATGCACCCCGATTAGGGCACACAAAACTAATAAACCCCACAGCAGGGTAGTTTTATGCAATACAAGTACTAGCCTCCTGAGGAGTTTTTTTGTGTGCAGCAGAACACATGTAGACACTGTCCCAGCTAGCCAGGGCACAGGGTACTTCATTGAGGGCTTCCCAGCTGGCAGCTCCCACGCTGAAGCATGCTCATGCCTCAGCTGACCCCTCTGCAGCACATGAAGCTGGGGGGAGCATCCCTGGGCTGCCTGCTTCCCCCAGCTACACGTGCTACAGAGCAGCTGGCTCAGGCAAAAGCGTGGCTCAGGCAAAAGGGAGCTGCCTGCTGGCTAACCTGCACTGTAGTACTTTGTGCCACAGCTAGCTGGGACAGTGTCTACTTGTGCACTACTGCACATGAAAAAAACTCCACCTTTCATGTCATTAACAAAACACTGCAAAGCTCTATAAAGTTCTAACTGCCATCCCCCGTAATATATACCCCAACTTCAAACTCAAATCTTAATTAATGCACATGTTAATTTCAACCTCATACTGTCCTGTATCAACTGATGTATCCAATTGCAGGTAGTCCACATTGATACATAACATAGTTACACCTTAATACATTGTAAGGGTTGTGGTTAAACTTTGTTAGAGTATAGGTATAAATAGTAACATATATACATACTGTTTTTCATTATTATTTGCGGGAAAAAAAGACCAATTTAAAGGATGTTTTAATTGTGTTAACATATTCCCAGACACAAAGAAATGTTATGCTGGAGTTAAAGGAGAACATATACATCAGTAACTTAAATGGTATACACTAACAGAGGAATTTTGAAATAATCTAAAAGCCAGCGATGCAAAGTTGGGAAATTCTGAGTTAAAAAGTTAAACTTGTCTATATACATATTTAAGTTTAACTTTTTAACTCAGAATTTCCCAACTTTGCATCGCTGGCTTTTAGATTATTTCAAAATTCCTCTGCTAGTGTACACACATACACACACACACACACACACACACTTGATGGTGTGTGCGCATGCATATATATATATATATATATAGAGAGAGAGAGAGAGAGAGATCGATCTCTATTATATATATCTATATCTCTCTATATATCTATATATCTCTCTCTATATATAGAGAGAGATCTCTCTCTTTCTCTCTCTCTACATATATCTATATATCTCTAGAGACATATAGAGATATAGATATATAGGTATGTGTAGAGAGAGAGAATGTTAAATTTGTATATACATCCATATCCATTCATATATACAGATATATCTTCAGCTTGGTTTTATACACATTATCAAATAATTAAAGGTATTTTAGAGAAAAATTGGCATATCACCAAAACTTCAAAGTAAAAGTTTAAGATCAAAACAAATATATAAATACAAATATTGTTACAGTGAGAAAAATACAATATTTTAGCTTCCTTGGTGATACCACATAAAAGTCTTACCAGTGTAAAACTTCATCCCCTTCAAAGTGGCTCAAGAAAGATGCACACTCTTTTAAAGGGAACTCTATCATCAGTTTCCCACAAAAGCCCTCCCAATACCGCAATGCAACTATGTGTTTTAAATTCTTCCAAACCATCAAAATGAACTTACGTTTTTCTTGGCACAGTTAACAAGGCTGGACTTCAAAATTTGTGTTCACTGCCAGCAACAGCAGCTGTCAGGGTGGGGCTCAGTTTTTACTTAGCTGTCTTTGGTTTCCAATTAACCTGATCTTGGCTTTAATAATTCCTGTAAGTTCTGCAACTGAGGGCTTCTGCTGGGTAACAGCTTCTGAGAAGTGTTTGGTCTCAATCAGGGTGCTGATACTTTCTTCTTTTACCTGTATCAATTCCTTCCCATGCCTCTTATCACAAGTTCTTCTTCCTACCATAAGTTACCCTCCCTGTTGAAAGCGTATGATATCAAAACATTATGGGCGTGTCCACAGATGCAAGCACGTGCGTTTGCAGCAGCCCAAATAGAAGCGGTGCAAATTTGAGTCGGGGCTTTTTGCTTCAGCGCACATGCTCGGACATGCACTTCGTTGTGGAGCAAATTGTGCCACTTGGGGCAAAATAACCCTGCCTGGCTCCTCCAGGATCTTCAGCCAGGGGGAGCTAGAGCCCAGGGCCAGCACCTGTGCTATCCCCAGCAGTATAAAGAGCTGCCCTGTCCTGGCCCTAGCAGTATAAAAAGCCACCCTGGCAAGTAGCTCAGGGCTACTAGCTCTCAGGAGCTTCTGGGGCCCAGCCAATTGGTACCTGGGGATACAACCCCTTGTGCCAGCTGGACTGGTGAAGCAGCCCTGAGAGTTCTCTGCACCCTCTACCCACTGCAGCAGTCTGGCAGTGGGGGCTGCTGCCTGGCTGTGATGGGGACTGCAGAGCCAGTAGAGGCATCTGCCCCTCTGGGCCAGTTGCCAGTGGACTGCAGTTGCAGGGTTGGCCTTTGTGCAGCACTACTGCCACGTGTGCTCCCTGCCTGGCCATCTGGGCAGCTATCACCCAGAAGATCTTCCAGGTGTGGTGGCCTGCTTTGAACTGTCAAAGCATGTCATCCTGGCCCCATTTAGCCAGGAGGTCAGCCACAGCCAGATGGGTTCAAGGTGCCAGCTCTGAACAGGCAGGGTCCTGCCACTGGCCTCCCTAGCAGGAATTCTGGTGTTCCCTATTGGAAAACTGAAAAATCTCTGATAAAAAAAATCCCAAAGTCACTCTCTAAAATACCCGCAAATCCATGTTCCTCCACAAGTAAAACAAAAGACCACTATAAAGAGAGAGAAAGAGAGTAAGACAGAGACAGCGATCAGTTGGAAAATGTTTTATTGATATATCTACAGTGTTAAAGCAAGTCTCATCATAATAATAAAGTGAACTCTAAATACAGGTTTCATGAATTCATATTTTGCTGCCCTCCCACAGGGCGATGGACCCCACACAAGGGGTTCATTCCCCACACAAGGGCTATGGCCTGTAAGCCCCACATGCCCCACCCCAGCCCCCTGATTGCTGCCCCACCTGCCCCCATCCCCACCAGCTGCTGCAGCCCCCGCAATGGCTGCCCCACCCAGCTCCACCCCCACACTTCCCCAGACCTCCCGATGGGTACCCCACCCAGCCCCCACTTTTTTGTTCCTGCACGTGCTTGTTGCCCTGCCTGAAAGGGGTTTGAGGTGGGGCTAGAGGCACGTACCTGCTCATGTGGACATGCTCTATGTGGGCAGTTGTTATTTTTCTTTAAGGATTCATACTGCAGGAACTGAGGCTTGATGATATACCAAGTACATTTGCTGGCCCAACTGCCTTCTTTTTAACAGTTTACCCTGAGAGAATTAGCTGGAAAGCTCACGTTTCATCAGCTAAGTACATCCTGCAGTACTGCAGAAATTTCTTGGAAACTGATTAGCAGGACTTAGTATACAATATTCATTTTGAAAAGAAAAAAAACAAGTTTTCCACCTACACAATGAACAGGTCATTTAGGGACAGAAATTACACATAAAACAGTATAAGTGATCAGAAACCAGTTCAAATCTGTAACACAAAAGAAGTTCACTGTGCATAAACCACTTCCAAAATGGCCAAAACCAGTTTAAGATAAACCTGGATGGATTTAGTATCAGACTTAACTGATTAAGTTAAATCAATTTATTGAACTTCTGTCCCAGATCCCCTCCCAATTCAAGTTAATTCATGGTCCCCCAGTATCCAAGGATGCTTTGCAGTGCCCCGGCAAATGCCCCACCCCCTGTAGGGCACGTGGGTTAGCCTTGGCCCAAGCTATCTGCTTCAATTCTATTGCCCCCTGGCTTCTGTCCTGTGCCACTGCAGGCATGTGGCTGCATTTCTGGAATCAAAGTGAATGTCTGTTCACTTGCTTATTGCATCCATCTATGCAGCTTATACTAAGATTGAAGATGCAAAGATTGAATCAATTCAACCTCGTGTTTTTGCCTATCTGCACTTAGCTTTGGAAAGTGGATTTGGTTTGTAGTTATGTGCTGCAGACTTGAACTCACGCAGTCCACCGAGTTACATGAGAGTTTTATGATGCCCACAACTGTCTCGGTAGCTCAGACCACCTGGAATTACTTAAGGAATGAAAGGCAATATATCAAATTTAATATCAATTCTAAATTTACACAGCTCCACCCTATTATGTTCTTTGCTTCCTAAGTATAAAGGCTCATTTTTTGGGATGAATTTTAATTCATCTATCCTATTTAGGTATCCTCGATGTATTTTCATATGTGTTTTCTTTTTAGATTTTTAAGCTAAGAAAGAGGAAGGAATAAGACTGAACATTGATCAACAATGATAAAATGAAGGACAGCATTTGACTTTGCAACCCCCCCCCTTACACTTTGCATGACCATACTGGATCACTGATTTTAAATCAGATTACTTGGGACTAGTTCTGAATTATTGTGGAAAAGATCCCTCTATTCAGAATCCTACTTTTGTTACCAAAACTTTGTGTAGAGTTTGCTCTGAATGCTTATAATAACCTGTTGTCTCAGGAAGTCTGCTTCTTGCCCACAGCCTGAATCCAAGATGTCACAGAAAGATTACTGAGACTCATCTGGCCCTCTGACTAGTACCTCATGCTGCTCATCCATGTGTGTACCAATGATGGTGCCAGGGATGACCCTGAGCAGATCAAAAGTGACTACAGGGCCCTGGGTACAAGGGTAAAAGGAACAGGGACTCAGGTGGTGTTCTCCTCAATCATTCCAGTCAAAAAGAAAGACTCCTACAGAGCCAGGAACTCCCTGAAGCTTCACTGTTAAAGGTGCGGAAGCCCCAGTTTGAACAAATCAACGCTGGAAACAGACCCTTGGGGCTGAAATACCCCCTGATCAACCACTTCCAGAGCTCTATTCATCACAGCAGTGAATCCATCAAAATTCATCAATGGACTCCCAAGACCTGAGGACGTGACCCCTGGGGCTGATAGCTGCCATCCAGCAGCTACCAAGAGGGACATCCCTCAAGGTCAATGACCCCTGGATTGGGTAAGCCTGAGAATTGGGGAGTCACCAAAGTCTGCCAGAGAGGGATAAAAGGCAGACAAGAATGGCCCCCAATGGCACCCTCTTTGACCTGTCCAGCACCCTGCCTGTCCAGCCAGAAGGACCAGCCAGCGACCCCCTTCTGAAGCAACATCGTGCTGAACGAAGCCTGGGCGGGCCATTGACAGTGGACTCCAGTGCTTGGGAATAGGTATATCTTGACACCGGTGCTTAGTGTTCATAGCTAGCTACTGTGAGGAAGGGGGGGTGTGCATGAATGTGTGTGTGATTGAGGGGATCAGCACCAAGGTTTATGATCTGACTTTTGCATCCGTCCAATAAACTAGAATTTTATGATGATCCTGTGAGTTGGTGCTTTGTAGCCAACAATGGAACAAGGAACACTGGTCTCAAGTTGCAGCAAGGGAAGTTTAGGTTAAATATTAAGAAAAACTCTATCATGAGGAAGGTTGTAAAGCACTGGAACAGGCTACCCAGAGAGGTGGTGATGGAATCGCTATCCTTGTAGTTTTTTAAGTCCCAGTTAGACAAAGTCTTGGCTGGAATGATCTAGTTGGGAATGGTCCTGCTTCAAGCAGGGGTTGCACTAGATGACCTCCTGAGGTCTCTTCCAACCCTAATTTGCTTTGATTCTATGATCACACAAAAATAGTGCAAACCTATATCTTGGGGATTTTGTGGTTGTTGTTTTCTAGAGGGTCGAGGAATTAATCATCATCCTAGCTGGCACTAATCTGAGTGATATACTGAAAATAAATCCTAGAAACAAACAATGCAAACTTAATTTGATAATGAAAACCTTAAGAACCTTCTTCTGTACTGACATACACTCCAGTCAAGTTCATTGACTTTAGTGGCACCATCCAGAAGGCTCAAAATAGAGTCCCAATTACATAAGAGGAAAAATTTAAAGTATGGTTCAAAATCTGACTCAATGAGGTTAACACTGTAGTCTCCAATATTTTAACCACAAATTCACTTAAGCTGAGTACAAGACAGTACAGTGTTTTCCTATTCTTTTGGAACATTAAAAAAGCCCAAGGCTGAATCAATTCAATCTTTGCAGGTTAGTCTAAACTGCATAGATTGAACCAATAAGCAAGTGAACAGACATTTGTTTTTGATTCCAGAAGTGTAGCCACATGCCTGCAGTTGCCCAGGCCACAAGCTGGGAGGGAGAGGAAGGTGCTAGAGCACATCTCCCTGCTTGGCTGGAACAGACAACTTGGACCAAGGCTATCCCACCCACCCTGAGAAAGGGGATTGTGGTGGAGGTGCAAAGCATTCTGAGGACAGTGAATTAACTTGAAGCTGGAGGGGTCTGAGTAGAAGTTCAATAAACTCATTTAACTTAAATCTGTTAAATCTGATACTACATGTATCATCTTAAACTGGTTTTGGCCATTTTTGAAAATGGTTTATGTGCACTGAAGTTCTGTTGCATTACAGATTTGAACCAGTTTTCAATCGCTTATACCAATTTATGTGTAATTTCTGCTCCTAAACTTTGTCTCCCCTTATACCTATACAAACATATCCTGTCCAGCACAAACCAAGTCCTATATTTGCCCAAGTATTTTTTCTTAAGGGTTTACTTGCATACTTCTATCATTTCTTTTAGCTAAGAAAACCTGTTCCATCCTGGCATCCAGTGGATGACTTGGACAAAGTTATTCATACCTTGGAAATGCCTATATTGCTATAAGCTAGCTTAGATACCAGAAGTCTAGTTGATGCATCATATAGACCAGCTCAGGCTATTTTACCTTGCCTTATGGTAGGGCAGTCCAACCCAGGTTAACTCCAGGTAGCTGGACCTGCTCTAAAATAATCTCACATCCAGTCTGGCTTCCCTTTCT